TTAGGTAAAAAACGTGAAAAAAGACCAGATAATACGATAAGTATAACGGATCATGAAGATAGTCCCCCAGGGTGAAAACGAGAGAATAAAGTGTGAAAATTTCTATAGTTAAACTCTCATACAAATGTTCGTTTGGGCACGAAATTTCCGAGAAATCGAAAGGTGAAAACCCGCTAAAACCCAGTTGTACAAATGAGCGGCGTCTGGTATGACAAAGTCGTGAAATCGATCAGAACTGATTTCCCTCGAGATGAATGGAATCCACGGCTTTGAAGGTGAAAGTATCCGACAACCGATAAAAGGGCGCTATACAACCCCAATCCTTGACCAGGATGTTGTGCGAGCCGTGAAACCCGTGGCAATGGACCGTGCGGGGTGATTCAGCCGTTGGCAAGTGTCCAACTCCCCGTGGTCCCGTGCGGAATTCACTGGCTGCCAGAGACGCAGACGTGAGCACTCTAGCCGTCGGCAATCTTTCCATCGGTGTGACTGGATAGTGCCCTGCGTTCTTGGTGTCAAGTGGTTGTCGTGTGTCGTATTCACTGATGTCTTCGCTGGTATTCTGATGAAGATCACCTGGGAGAGTGGCGATTGGCCCGGTGCCAGGATTGAACCTGCTATTACCCACTTGGCATGGGTTGCTCAAGCAGATCGACCAGGCCATGGTTTACTCGGTGTTGGCTCTGATTCGGGCTCCGTCGGCATTACGCTTACCGATCTCCATCCAACGGACGACGATAATGGCCGTTATAATTTCAACCTTCGAGGCCATCATTCAGCGATTTGTATGGTCACCTGGAATCGAGTCCAGACGAAGCTTGCGTCATGCGATTCATCGGGAGTTATCTATGTTTGGGTGCGGAACGATGATCGATGGTCCGTGGAACTGGTAAATGATCGAGGAGTAAAAGTACGTGACCTGAGTTGGAGCCCCTGTGGATCTTCAGCCCTGATTTGCTACGAGGATAATTTTGTCCTGATCGGATCATCCACTGGCCAACGAATTTGGAGCAACTCTTTCCCAAGCGCTATCACTGTGACCGCAGGCGTTTGGGCTCCGGACTCGCGGCAACTTGTGCTCGGTTTTTCCTCCGGAAATATTCAAGTGCTATCCGATCAAGGCGCTAACATCACAGAACGCTCATTTACCACGGATTCGATTCAGAAATTAGCCTGCTCACCCACGAGTACCCGGGACGATCGTTGGATTCTAGCGATTTTAACGAGTACAAATAAAATTCTTATGATAAGCGCTTTCGATCAAATCGACCCACTCGTTTACTGCTCTCCACATTCCGTCGTGCAAATGCAATGGAATACTGATGGATCGATTCTCGCTGTGATCAATTCCAACCACGAACTGGTGATGTTAGACCGTGAAGCACGGGTTATTCACAAGGAAGTGTTGGCTTTACCGAAGGATAAGCCCCTCTCAGCCCTCACCTGGGCCCACGAAGGACGGGCTGTTATTGTCGCTGCTGGTGGTCACCTAGCAATCGGCAAACTGTTGCCGGGCGTTCCTTCTCTATTCGATTTAGTCACTTATGAACTCTGGCGATATCTTGGCTCAGAATCGAAGAAAGTCGACTCATTACCGATACCTGTAAAAGAGAAAAACGCCTTGCGATCACTTGACCATCACATTATTCGGGTGAGCAAATTACATCCTTTAAATCTTTCTTATGTGTTTTGTCTTTATGTATTCCTGTTATTTCCTATTCAACCTGAATGTCCTTTAATTCGTTGTTCTGTTGTAATTGTTGAGACACTGGTTAGCTTTTTTTTCGTAATCACGTGAAAATAGGCGTTCGCGTGAAGTGACGAGTACGGTAAAGCAGTTTTCCAATGAATAGGAAGAGCTAAGAGAAACTAGTTGTTTCGTGAATCTTTTATGGAGAAACTTCTATGACGCTATAGTAGTAGGGGGTCGCAATCGACTTTGAGGCCATTTTCGAAGGATAAGGCTTTCTGTTACGCGTTAGGGCATATCCCTCAGTTACCAGGAGATCGCATATTAGTACAACTTCCTTTTCCTTGCTATTTCTTCTTCTGCTTTCATGTTTAACGGCATTCCAAACAGGTTGAAGGTTGTCGTTTTGCCTCTTCCATTCCGTCACTGATTGTTTTCAAAAAAAACATGGCTTTAGGAGTGTCATAGCATATGCATGCATATGCATAGTAATATTGCCTCTCTTACGGTTAA